TTTGTTACATTTTGTTGGCACTAAGCTTGATCTAATGATTATTTGTGTTCCATTTGTTATGTACTTAATGGAGCTTTGCAAAGTTCATCCATGTTGATATTGATAGATTCCCTCAAATATAGTTGTGAATTCAATCTCCTATCAATTTTCTAAATGTTCACAGTAAGTGGTACCTGTCTGGAGAGTTGATGGTAGTAAGCTTCTAGGTAGGTCAGGTAAGCTGGTATCACTGTCAGGCTGCTCTCCTGCTGAACAGGGTTATCAAGGCTTTTCACAAAACCCTTCAGATGTCCCAACAAGGATGCCTGCAACCCTGTGACATGACCCCAAGTCACTGGAGGAGGAGGGGGGCACTCTTCTCCCTGGGAGCTAAACAGAAAGCATAACATGTGGATAAAAGGGATTCAAGTTGTGTAAAGATTTTATAAAACCCTCTTTAATTTTCCTCCGTACCTGACCATGCCGGCCTGCAGCTCCTGGTGGCAGCCGGCGGTGTGTGTGACCTGTGTGAGCAGACAGAGCAGAGCCAGGACCCTCTGGAGCTGCAGCGGCAGGAGAGGGTCTGAGGGGGCCAGGACTTTGTGAAACGACTGTAACGACTTCGCTAAGCTTGGATACAGATCTCTGTGGGAACACAAGGGCAGTACAGCCATGAAAGATGAGCAGAAGAGAGGACTATGGGGTGTCAATCTTAAAAGGTCCCCTATTCAACTCTTTTTCATCAATGTATTATAGTTCTCAGTTATATACAAAACATGTCTCTGAAATGTTTGACTCGAAATACCAAAACAGATCATGCTTTGTAGCATCCCATAAACCCCTCTGTTTCAGCCCCGTTTCAAAAGTGCTGATTCTGGGTCTGTTAATTAAAGTGGACTTATCATGCTGTATTTGAATAATATATTGTAGGGCCGTACCTATATAAAACATGTCTGTGAAGTTTTTTTTTCAAAATACCAAACAGATCATGCATTTTAGCCATGCCTCATTTTGCTCTATTTGCTGTATTCCGGACCTGTTTTTGCAAGGGCTGATTCTGTGGCAAATGAGCTGCAGCTGACCACGCCCCAAGTCATGTTACAATGCTGTTACAATGCCACGGCAACCTCTCATTCCCCTGATAGGTGGGGAGTTGCCCATATAGGCGGAGCTCCCCGTTTCTGACGTCAGAGATATTTCAAATCTGTATCAGTCTGTATCAGATCCGTTGCAGCCCCGTTTTTAGAGATTTGGGTATGGAGGAAAAGAGAGAGGGTTGTGTTTTCTGACACTTGGTAATTCCCTGACACACCGGGGACACATATTCATGTATAAAAGACGTACAAGAGTGCATTTTGCATGATAGGTCCCCTTTAAGTTAACATTAACGTAACGTTGTAAGAAAGCAAAATGAACCTTCGAGAAAGCTTTTACTCTCAGACTGTGTGAAATTGTGTAGTGTTGCTTACCTCCAGAAGGACTTTTAGCGCGTTACCAGACAGAGCTGTCAGAGCGGTTCCTCTCAGAAGAGCAGCCGCTGGGCGGAGTCACAGAAACGATCAACTGATCTTCACTCCCCGACCGTTAGCGCCAGTCAAAACCATGTTTTATACCGCTTTGTTTCAACCACTGCCGTCTCACCGTTCCCCTGTGTCCCGCCCTCTCTGTCTGTCTCTGTCTGTTTCAGTTTCACCAGCAAGACTGCTGGTAGAACAGCATAAATACCAGCTTCGCATAGACCAGTTTAACTACCAGCTAAAACCAGCATAGACCAGCAACCATCTTAAGCTGGTCTATGCTGTTTTTTTCAGCAGGGATGTATGTACAGCAGGGAAATACTATGTTTATGTTTAGCCTACTGACTGGAATAAGGCTAAAATAGTTAGCCTTATTCTCTCCAAATAAAAAGAAAATACACCTTACAACATCTCATTTGTTGAAACCGTACACAAACTGAACAGGAGTGCTAGGCTAAGGACAGAACCAGTCTAGCTGTTTCCCTTGTTTCTGGTCTTTATGCTAAGCTAAGCTAATCAACTCCTTTCCCAGATTTATATGAATCCTCTCAACTCACTCACACAAAGAAAGTAAATAAAAGCATGTACATCATATAATTCAATTTTCCAAAAGGACAGAACTCTTCAAATGAATGTGCGGTTACTGTATCATTTTCTTTCTATGAAATCATAGGAAACTATGGGAACCCAATATTGGTTGAAATTGAATATGGTCTTTAAGTTGGTATGACGTTGTTGCTGTTGCTCAAACTGTGGTATGTGAAAATGTGTTACAATACCTCTGAAAATGTTGTACCTAAACACTTTAATTTATGTTTGTGGTGTTGCCCAGTGTCTGTGTCTTGTGTATTTCTGAGTCTTGAGTCCTTATTTTAATATAATTTTTTTCCATTCTGACCTCAGAGTTGTAACCACATGTTATCATTTGCAGGAATTCCTGGTTCACAGCACAGAGGACAAGGCCATAACGCTGTCAGTACGCCTGCCTGATGAACAGGGGGGGCCGTCCGTACACAACCTGAGGGTCAAACAACACAAGACATGTACGTGTTATAAAATATGCAAGATTTGTGTGGTAGAGGACAGATAGTAGATTAGTGAGTGATTCATTATTACATTGTTTCCTGTCACAGTTCTTCACTTAGATGGTTCTTCTCTGGTTTTTGATGACATCTTCAAATTGATCTCCTTCTACTGTGCCAGCAGGTAACAACACAGTGCAAACACAAAATAATTAATGTACATAGTGTGTTGTGTACGGTATGTACTGCATAGCATACAGCATGTGCACATAAAGTAGTGCAGTGATGAAGAGATTTCCAAAGTTAGCATTGCAAAGGCTCCCTCGATAAAAACCGGATTGCAGAAAATAAGTTCTGTGGCAAACACACCTTTATGAAACGTACACGTTTTGTTCAGCAGCATAATCTCCATTGATTAACACCATTTTATATTTTTTGACACTTAAATGCACTCGCCAGAAGTAAAAAGCTAACGTAAGTAACCTAACGTTGCTTGTTAGCAACCGCACATTTTATGACACATAGAAGATTTTGATAAACACCAGTGGGGCATTTACTGACGTGAAAATCTTACGTACACAATTGATCTTATTTCAGGCAATATTTTTATGATGTTTGAAGCCTAAATGCAAATGCCAGAAGTAAAAAGCTAATGTTAGACTTTATACAAAATAGGGACTATCATCACTTCAAGTCACCACCGCTAAGCTAAAGGCGGCTAATTCAATTCAAATGTATTTATATAGCCCAATATCACAAATCACATTTGTCTCAGAGGTCTTCACAAATCAACAAACATGAATGATAATGTAAAAACAACAAACATATCTGAGAATATAGTAAAATGACTAGATAAATGTGAAAATACCAATGAATGGGTACAAAACACAATGACACAAATACACTTAGAATACAATAATTACAATTCCATAAAATGAAGGGTCCATGAGGATGTTTAAAAGGGAGTTTAAAACCAGTCCTAACTGTACGCTGTACTAAAGAGGAAAGTTCAGAGTTATTCAGAGCTTTTAAACATACGATGTTCAATTGTACGTGAATGCTTTTCTTTTTTGTATCGGCCAGATCCCAGAGGATGATGAAGTGTTTTCAGTCAGGCTGACAGGCGTGGCAGGTGGAGCTCTCCTCAGGCCCAACGCCAGCAGCGTCCAGCTGAGGATCCGGGCGTAACGACAGCCCCGCTGAGATTCTCCCACTCTGTCATGGCAGTGCAAGAGTCCGCTGGAGTCATCGCCCTCAATGTGACCCGCGGGCGGCTGACTGAGGACGGACCGTTCATTGGCTCCGATGACACCGAGGTTCCTTTCTCTCAATACGTGTATTCCTTTACCTAGATTGAACTAAAAAAGTATACAATGAGGCTGCAGAATTTGGAAGAAAATTACTAATTGCAATGATTTTTATTTTCATAATTACAGTTTCCCATATGTTGCCTTGCTGTGATAAGTATTGCACTACTCCATTTTGTTTTTTTATGCAGCATTAGTATACAATTTACCATATGTATATCATATCTATTTAGGTCTTAATGTGTGGATATATATTAATGTGTCTTTGATTGTGTATATACAGGTATATACATATTTGCATACATATTTTTATGTATTTGTTTTTGTATTTGGGATTGTGGGAAACGGTATGTTGATCTCTCTGTCTGTACACACAAACTGAAAGATGACCAATCAGTTGACTTTGACTTTTGAAATAATTTGGGACTATTCTGTTTTCAGGTCTCTGTGGATTACATGGTGGGTGAGCGGGTGGAGGGCAGGCCAGCCGTCACCAGATGTTGGATTCCTCGACCTGCAGCCCGTCAGAACGGTGACATTCCCCGTTTGTCTTCACTGCCAGCCTGCTGTTCAAAATCACTGATGACGCCGTGCAGAAATCGCAGGAGTCCTTGCATCTGGTGCGGCTGAAGAAAGCATCAGAGGAGACGCTGTGCTGTCACCCTCTCTCATGGCTCGTGCTAGGAGCCATCGAGCCAAATGACAGCCTAACGGTGTCCTGTCAACTCAGCAGCAGTGCAGCCAGTTCAGCCAATCACCATCAATGAAGACCTGACACAGAGGGTGGATACCTTACAAATGAAATGTGTCTTATACTGACGACATTTGCTTTGGGTTGTATCATATTGAAACAAACATCAAGATTGTTACATCTGTTACCATGCTTCCGTACATTCCCTCTAGATTTGATAAGGGATCCATTAGTTGTTAGAATGGAGGCAGCTATTGGGCGTGTCTGCAAACTGGTCCATCTCTAGAAACTGCCAGCACCCCTCCCAGTTTCAGATGAGTTTGACGCCTGCAGCAGGGGACGGTGAATCCTGCTGCGCGTCCAGGTGCAACGGCTGTGATTCTCTCGACATGGTGGGGGGATGGCTCTGCCTGAGAGAAGCAGAGGGCTTTCATCCTCAGCTGCAGCGGGCAACCTACGACAGGAAATGTGGAAGCGACGAACAATGGAGGTCAGTGTTGAGAGATCTTTGATATGGCCAATTCCTCGTGTCGTCTTCAATTAAGGGCCGAGCTACCAAGGCTTGTTATTTGAGAGACAGGGTCTGAAGGGGGAGAAGGTGGGGACGACCTGTGTTGGATTCAAACTCACATGTTCAACAGAAGCAATGTATGAAAGAAGAACTAAAGATAGTTTTATCAAAAATGTTGCCCTTGCGTCCCCTCTCCTCTTTTCAGACACGCAGTTATGCTCGTATGTATCTCTGTATACCGTATATCTACTGTACAGAGAATAAGTGATTAATGGCGTAACCTGAACCAGTAGATCGCGATTTGCGTAATGCTGTGACTGTAACTGGGAGAATAAAGTTAGCCTTTTTTGTATCACTGATAAACGAATCCCGTTACATGATTTATTTCCCTATTGGTTTATATGGGT